TTTTTCAACCAATCATTGTGCCTCTAATTCGAAACCTCCTAATACAGCAATACCGGTACGTTAATATACAAAATGACAAGAGCGGGTAACGCCAACGACAGATGGTCAGAAAACCGCTGGGGAGCTGCACCTCAACGAGAGCTCAATGTTCGTGGTGTGACGACTGCGACACTGTGAGGAAGAGTGGCGTAACCTACTTATATATGTCGGCCAGACTTAGAGGAAGAGAGAGAATTTATTTTTTTGTCAACCAGAAAACGTATAATATACATATATTGGACCTTTCCCCTAGCACCGACTTCCTTGTTCACTTTGTGACATTGGCTAATCAGCAAGATGCAAAAAGTGACGTAACAATACTTCCTTTTCGCATCCGCTCAGACACTTTTCTCACTCAGACAGTTTATATTTACGCTCAGACAGATTTTCAGGCGTGGTCGTAAACATTACCTGGTTTTCGCGTTTTTGAACTCTATTCGTTAGCTTTCAGTTGTGTTTCGGAAATTTAAATGTAAATCAAGTAATTCAATGATTGCTCTGTCTTCTTAGGAGTTTTAATTTAATTGCAGTGATAAAAATTAGTGCAGGAATAGCCGTGATAGACTAGGCTAAAATTCTTTACTGGTACTTTTAAAAAACAGATTGTTGTATGCGATGATTCATAATGATAGTTTAAAACAAATACCTCATTTTATAGGCACCAACTCGCGAAACCACTCTTAAAATGAGTCTCTAAAATTTTGCAATAGTAAAGTATAGGAAGAATTTTTCGGGGATCAAAGGTCGGGGAAAGGTCCTAATGAAATAAGTAAACAAAGTTTTCGGTATATGACTAGGTGGTAACGATAGGACCGTTGATAGTCTGTTACCACCCAATACAAAGATTATAGAAAGTGAGGTACATTGAAATTTAAATGCAGCAAGCAATAGGGACAACGGTTATTGTTAAGGGAGCATGCTGTTTAACCGTAAATATATACTACTACGGTTTAACTTCTTTCCATTCTTGTGGCTCAGCACCAAATCGAACAATCCCGTCCCTTTCTTCATCACAGGATACCAAATTTTATTATTATTTTAATTAAATTTGGAAAATCTATGACATGGCAAAATGATACTCTTTATAATTTATTGTTCTCTATTTCAAAATACTTTTATACCTTCAAATTGTCTGGCTGAAATGCGATCATGATAGGTTTTATGGAAATGCAACCTGAATATCTTTTTTTTTAATCCTGATCTTTTTTTTGGCGGTATTCAGAACTATAAAAAACAAAGTACCTTAAAAAAGCGAATAACATCGCATTTCCCCAAGCCTGGAAGGAACGCATTTTTGCTAGATTGGCCATATATTACTTAAGACACTCACCCTTGAGTGCTACATACCATATGTGCACATCCCATTTATAGTATGGGGTATCATTACTCAATGGTGCCATATTTAGTATATGTCCAAATTTTATTATTATGTTCACATGTATTATCTTTCATGTTGTATTGTTTCTATTTATTGATGTTGTCTTGTCCTACCAACTCCTTTGTACAAACAGTTGGGCATACTCCACCCTTAACCATGCTGCCTATATTGCTACCCACCCACCCTCCTCGCACAACGGTCTGTATGAAGGATCACATTGTACTTATTTGATTTATTGCATTTTATGCTTCTCATAAGGGGTGTATGCCGCACTGTCATGTGTTTTAGGCTAGTATGGTCTTGTGCATACATCCCGTCTTCAATGTTGATACTTACTAACTCCTGTGTTTCTGCTTTTATGAGACGAATAAACATACATACATACATGAACGAGTGAATAAATAGAGACAGGTTCTTTTTTAACACACTCTGGGTTTATAAGAAACTATATTTGTACAAGACATAACCTGATTAGAAAGTGGTTCTCAACCTTTTTTTCTTTCGTGTCCCATTTTTGTTGCCAAAAATATTCTTGTGGCCAAATAATTTTTTGTTGCAAGGGAAAATAATTTAAATAAAAACAAGATCTTTCTGCGAGAATTGACACTTTCTCTTTATTAATTAGAATGAAAATTACCACTCAGTAGCAGAAAACAGCATTATAAATCATTGGTACTACAATCAATGTTAACGATAGTGACACGAATGAAATAAGCAATTTTCAATAATTTTATGGCCCAACTCCTTGTTGCGAGTTTCAAGGCTTCTTTTGGTATCTCTATTGTAGACTGAAGAACAGTCGCTGCATGGGATTGCATATACAACGTTTTTTTGTTTAGGGCATGGGCGGTCTTTAACGTTGGAGAGCAATTGGCCGATAGTGTTTTGGGGTTTAAAACTTACTCTGATTTTAACGTCTTCTAAGCCTTGAAACTCGCAGCAAGGAACATCTACGAGATATTAAACAAAAGAAAATTGACAAGTCGGCTCTTTCGAAGCACGCCTTTTCTAAAAACCATAGAATCGACTGGGAAAACAGCAGGATACTAGAAAAAGAAACTCATAACAGGAGAGGACTATTTCTCGAATCGTATCACATAAATAAAGAAAAGAATTGGATGAATGACAAAGAAACCACACTTTTCCCACCTGTGTATAAATCATTGTTTAAATAGTCCCCTTTTTGTTTGAACTTGCGCTAATTTGTTTATTTATATATGTTATCTTATCTTCATCCTTTTGGATTAGAGTTGACGCCATGATAATTTTTTCATATTTTTCCCTTTTTCCTTTTCTTGCTCTATATATATCCACTTGTGTCCTTTCCATATATATCATGTCCTGATGAAATTTTCTGTATAGAAATTCGAAACGTCGGCAAATTACATCGTTTTGCTAACACCGGTTGTGCTTCATTTATTATCAACATGAGTTTACCTGGTGGCAATCATGCACTATTTACACACATACTATGTTCAGGTTGTGCACCATCTTGGTGCTCATACTTCAGGAGGTCCCAAAAATAATTAGAAATGTTAGCAGGATTATGATCGATGAGATATGAATTTGGTCGATTTGGTAGGGATAGACCAAAATATTATCAATTGTTATTAGAAGAGTTTAATGTACACTTTGTACATTATAATAATCTGAATTTAGGACGAAATGTATCACGAGTTCCCAACCAAAGCAGTTATTAACCTCAAATAAGAAGTGGATGGTACTGTATATAACAAAATGCAACAAAGGGAGTTTTATGAAAATAATTATACATCAATGATATCAATACACTTTACATAATATTGCATCTAGTCTAGATAGTATACAGAAGAAATTGGATTGGAAATTTTTAAAGAAACAACAAGACATGGACTGTATATATATACATAAATATATATATATATATAGAGAGAGAGGGAGTCCAATAATAGAGTCTGTCGGCATTTTCTTACTAAGAAAATTATATTAACCTTGAATTGAGCAACTTTTCATAATATAAAAAAACCATAGGTTGTGACAATGATTCCCCAAACCCAATTAGAAGACAGGCGTATGAAGTATTCCAATTCGCCGCACGGATTGCAGGAAATCCGCCAGCATGTAAGAGCCACCGATACCGCAGATGCACGCAATGACAAAAAACGCTATGTCATCAGAATTTTTCCACTTTTATTTGCGCCCCAAAGGCCCTACAATCTCGTGCAAAATACGAATGCATTTTTCAAATATGTTATCCAGTCTTCCACAGTTAAAATCATTGCGGGTTGGCTGTGGATATACATTCTTATATCGCTACCTTGTTTCCCTGAAAAGAAGACCTAGCCTGAATTTTAAAAATGATTTCAATATAAGCCCTCCCCTTAAAATAAGACCTCGTAGATATCGCAATTTTTTTGACCTAGTCGATAGCAAGAAATCTCTCATATTATACACGTTTCATGATTAATCAAAAAGCGTGAGAGAGGTGACGGTTATTTATAAGTAAACGGATATCGGTTTTCAAATTTTGTATATTTGAACATCTCGTAATTCTCCACATTGTAATTTTGTTTTGATAAAGGAAAAAATAAGCCCTAGTTTTATTTTTCGAAAGAATATTGGAATAGGACACTTTTTTTCGGGTAACAAGGTACGTCTGTTCTATTACCACGAGCGATTCATATTCATTTTTAAGCGCATTGAAAATTCCATGTCGAAACAGCTTGTGGAAAACCACGTTTTCAACATAAATTATTTAATTTCTTTTCAACCGGGCCAATACCGAGTTCTGAATCGTCTGACCAATCATTTCATTGAACACTGCGACACTATTGAAAAACTCGACTATGTAATTTCTTTGGTGCCCTAACCAATGGTTAATTCATTCCTGGCAACAACACCCTTACTGTATTATACGCCTACAAATTCATTAGCACAAGACAGCAAGGCTAAGTCTCGCGTCGTAACCCTTAAACTAATAATTCGTTCAACGACTGACGCTTTTAATTGTATCGAAGTTACGGTGAAATGCAATTTAAAAACTCAATCACTGACGTTTTTTTAACAATGAAGTTATGGTGAAATGCCATTTAAACGTCATACGACTGACGCTTTTTGAATATTGAAGTTATGCGAGATGCTTCTTAAAACATTTAACGACTGAAGATTAATGAGCTGTTGCAATGCGTTAGTCGCTAAATGTTTTAAGTAACGTTTCACCGTAAATGCAACACTTGTTAAAAAGCGTCAGTTGTAAAATGTCTCTATCAGTTGGGGTTACGCATGACTACCTTAACCACCTTTCCTTGTTGTATGCCTTTATAACATACATCTATGCCAGAAATACATTTGTGTTAGTGTGCAGTAAAATGTTTAATAGATTTTGCCGAAATTCAAAAAGCCCGATCGCTCATCAAATGGTTTCAGTGGTTTTGAGTGTAGGCAATAAACGCACTACCTTATCGATAAATAAGAGATAGGATTAGGTGCGCGATCGATTTTGAGAAAAATAAAAAATTCAAATTCAAAGTGCGCCTTATGTTCCGTAAAATAAGGTACTTCTTAGTAGTGCTTCCTTTTTAGTATAAATAGAAAACTCTCGAGATCTGCGGAAATTCCCAAAAAATAAAATTCATGTTATAAAATACGAAATTGGTTGAACAAGTTAATGACCATACATATATAGCCTTTGCAAGCACATCCCACGCAAAATTATAATGTAATAAAATCATATAGGTAAATACAAATGAAAGCAGCTTCACAGTGAAAAAAAATATAGAAAATGAGCAGTTCCAACCTTTCTGGTAGTTTCAAAATCACCTGTTGTATCAATTATATACATAGTTCAGTTTGGGTCAAGATCATTAAATAATAATCTAAAGACTTACAAATACTGGAAGCATGAAAAAACATACGTCATAAACAACTAAGTGAGAATGGGTCAAAAAATATTTTAATTGATTTGAAGTCATCTGGTCTTTTTAATATATTGAATGGAGGTCACCAGTATCAAATTTAGCTTACAATCAATAAGTTATGGCACAGTGCAACAAGCCCTTCAATAATGTTCTGAAATTGACTGCAATCAATCAATTAGGCACAATAATAACACTTGGAAATCAGATCAAAATGGTGACATAAGAGGCAGATAGTTTTTCATCATTGATTCGTGTCACGCTTGGCAATATCTTGCTGGATTTTCCACTCCAATGTTTCAAGAAGATCATTTGGAATTTTAGCAGCTACAGCGAGGCGCTTTGCTAATTCTTTGGGATTGTCATCACGATGAACAGATACTTTGTGAACCCAGCCCCCATTGTCTGTATATTCCAGATAATAAAGAAGCTTCCCAGTTCCATTTATCTTAGGAGGTACATCAAGTGTTTCTGCTTGATCATGATGACTGCTCCTAGCAGGTTTGGGTCGATAAACCTGTTTAGGAAATAATCAACACTATGATCAAAACTACTACATGCTGCTGAATGCATTAAATAAACTAAAACATTACGATACAAGATGTACCGGTAGTTCAAATTGAGTATTTAAAACTGATGCTTTTATAAATGGTGATTTTTGAGTGCATTATTATCCTGGCTTTCACCGAATCGTTTTTAAACATTAATTGCAACTTTCTTCGATAAAAATCCCCACCGGCGCCAGGACGTTTATCAATGTATTTCCATGACCATATCAAAAGTAATGAATAGATTTTATCCAAGATCAGAGACAGATCGTCTCTGGAGTTAAAATACTTTTTCCATTTATAAAATGCGCACCTATGTGTCATCTATATAATCATGATTGCAACCTTACAATCGTCATTTAGATCAATGGTCGGCAACCACCGGGCCGCGGCCCATCGCCGGTCCGCGGAAAGGTTATACTGCAGGTCCGCAGAGAGGTGACACAAAAAACGGACAAGACCGTAATAAAACCTCTACAATCTAACCACAAACCCTACGACTAAAAAACAGCACCCAACAGTAAACCAGACAAACACAACACCAGGGGTCGGAAAAAATGCGGCCCGCAAGCTAATTTGTTGCGGCCCTTGAACGACTCGACATTTAATATATAAAACAAAAATTAATCCCAAATTTATTATTGTCTCTACACGGATTATGTGGTGACAAGTGCTGCTGTACGGCGCTTCTTATTAAGTAACAAGTAGCGTCAGTTGTATGTTGTTCGAGTTAATTTTGATTTTTAAAACTTGAAAATGTCTGAAAAACATAGCGACGCGGGTCGAGCATTCCAGAGTGCTTGAACGGAAAAATATTTTTTTTCTTGCGTATTCCAAAACACCGGTTGCTCGATATGCCCAGTCAGCATCGTAGTTTGTTAAGGGTTTCAATGATAAATTCGTTACGAAACGAGTCGTCGAAAATTCGACCCTGAGACTGCGCCACAGCTCATCTGTGCGACAGTGCAATGTGCACGTTCGGAAGAACATATGGCCTTGAGCAGCTTTATCTAAAATGCATTACACTTAGATTAAATTTCGTACTCGCTTGTCAGATCATCATTTGGACGACGAGTTGCCATAAAAACATCATCTTTCACACTGTTAATAAGTACATAAAAACAATGTATTGTTGGATAATAATAAAAACGCCACATATACATCTCATTGGGACAGGCTTTCAACACAGCAATAGAAGGGTAGCAATGCGAATGCGCCATAATTTGAAGTTTAATTATGATAGCGATTGTTCGAAGGCGGAAATATTGCGGCCCGCGCGCTACCACAAATGTTTATATCTGGCCCGCAAGTACATGAAGTTTGCCGGCCACTGCGTCACACTATTGAGCAACATGTCTGATTTCATAAACAATTGCCATGTCAGTATGTCGCAATAATGCTGGGTCAATTGTTTTCTCTACGTCCGTATAAGAATGTCTCTCATCAGTTCGAATCGGATCTCCCCAACAAAACGATACAGGCATTGTTAACTTCCCGAAATCTTAATGTGAGGCCTGGTTTTCAATATTGATAACTACAAAAACGAAATAGGCTGGAAGTAAGAAACACGTTACGTGTGTCAATGTCGACCATATCTCGAATATGGGACGGTTAATGGCCATCAAACAAATACAGACATCACATTAAATAGCATCACCGTCGTTTTTAGTATATTGTCAACATAGTTTTCCTAATGCGTATAATTTATTGCATAGGCTTAGTTCGTTTGTATAAAGGTGGTCCGCCGAAAGTTTGGCCAAGCTTTACCGGTCCGTCACTTGAAAAAGGTTGCCGACCACTGATTTAGATGGTCATCAACAAATTCTTGTTGGCAGAAGTGTTCTTTCCAATAACATTTAGTGTTAATTCATTTGCTTCACGAACTTGCTTTTAGGAACCTAGAATACTAAAAAGGCAAACTCACTTTCTTGTCAGGATATTTTTGAGAATCAGTTTTGTCCATTTTTGGTTTATAGGAATCTGATTTGATCTTTCTATCATACTCATCCCTGTTACAAAAGAGCAGAAAATTATTGTTATTCTATTCTAAAATAACTTATCTGTATTGGGACTACACATTAATATTTGATTATCCCATAATTTTTGTCGTTTTCAACATTATGAAATCTCATACAACTACTAAGTGTGTTTTTATATGTAACTTCTAATAATTCAAATTAAAAATGAAATTGACCTTTTCATTTGATTTCTTCTGATATGATGAATAAATCCATGTTTCATATCCAATCCTGGGCTATTTTTATCCATGATATATATATCTTAGATATGTCGTATATCAGAATCATATATGATTGTAATGCTAAAAATAAATAGTCATATACTAGTTGAAAATGTGTGCAAGTAGAAAAATATATGAAAGAATATTTGGAAAAAAAATATAAACTATAAATTAACAAAACGAAAATTACAGATGTACCAATCGAAGACAACCCAACCCATTGATGTAAAAAAAATTGTATAAAATTTTGGACTTTCCCATTTCTACGTACAAAAACATAAAAGGCAATACAAAATATTTACCCAAAATGTACCGGTAACAGACTTGCAATCAGTATTGATCATTTTCTACTTTTCTATATTATCGCTGCTTATGTCACATTTAAAGTCGTGAAGAATCACATTTTTTGTAATTTTCAAATCTGTACATTCAAACCTAAAAATGGACACTACACTAGGCACTACCTAAATGCAAAACTAAATCAGGTGAATCTTTAAAACCTAGGGTCTAGGTCCTAGACGAAAATATGGCCCCTGGCCCATTTGAATGGAAGATCAAAAAAGTTCACTTGTGAAAAATAGGTCATAAGCTACTTTCGTTTCACCACATCGACTTAAATACAAAAAACAGTGATAAATGCGACCGTAAAAATTATTTGTTTGAATACATCAAAACAGATTGTCATCAGTCATTTAGCAGAGTCATCTACTTTGAAAAATAGAGCAATGGTTATTCCCTTGATTTCCAGCAAAGTAACGCTCATCGATGTAATCAAATTGCAAAATATTGAAAAGTGCAGAATTAACACATTAGAAAACTTTCATGATCGATTGACAGTTGTGTTCGCAATGGAATGCTAATTACTGCTATATTACTTACTAAACTTCTGATTAAAGTGCAAATCAAAACAAAACATCCTGATTTAATGTTGGATTCAAAAACTCTTCAATCTCCTGCATTTCTGCCTCGCTCACTGGTTTACTTTTGTCGTCAAATGGATTGAGATTTTCACCAGTTTTCAGTGATAATTTTTGCCACCACTGTGAGGTCAATTCCCTCAAAGTTCTTTTGTGTTCGTTTTCAGCAGCAACTATAACAACATTGGAGTTGAATGCCAAACTATCAACAAAATCTGATGTTGCCTCATGAAGACTTGGTATGTTTTGAAGAAGTTCTTGCTCTGTTTTTAATTTTGCCAACAGTGCTTGTAATTTTGGATCGTCATATTTCATTTTCTGTACATTTTTTGCATGATAAGCTAACAACATTTGTTGAGTTTTCTCATGAATTTCTTTGGCCTCGGAAAGGGAGGTCTCTTTCGTGCCACGCACTGCCTGCTTCTGGTCAATTTTCATTTGCAATTCCTCCCTCTTTTCCTTAGTTAGCTTGGTTTGCACAGTCAAAGGCTGTGATATGCCTTTCTTCATGCTTTGTCTTCTGGCAAGAAACTTTCTTACAGCACGTTGAATCACAATTGCTGCCTTACTGGCATGATGAATGTATTGTTTATTTGCAAATTGCTTTCGCTGTGATGCCCCCCGCCATATCGTTTGAATTTTAACAGCGGCCTTTTCTTCTTCTTTTTGAATATGGCTATTCACTTTATTAGCAGGAACAATTTCCAGCATTTGTAATTGCTTTTCTCGAGTTGAACGCACAGATTGTTTTCTTTTCATCTCTGCAGCATGTCTTTGTTCGTTTTCCAACTTTTCCCTCAATGCATACTCAAGTTTTTTTTGACGTTTCCTTCGAAATGAACTCTGAAGCGATGGAACAACTTTATGCAACTTTCCAACTCTTGATCTGGTTTTCCAGCCCTTATAAGCAGCCCAAATAGTTTTAACTGCATGTGTTCTTCTCGCCAATTCAGCAATTTGAGCATTTCCGGCATCCAACACTGCAATTAAATTCTGTAATATCCGATCAAAACCATGACCAAGCCACCTCGTCATTAGAGCTTTCAATCCTTTGAATCTCACTGATAATTTATTTGCAATTTCAGAATCTGCATCAACCATGGCAACTATTATTTTTACTGTTAATGCTGCCAACTCATCACTACTTGAAGTTGTAACTTTATAGATAAGCTCATCGAGCAGATGATTCAATGCGGCAGTTGGCATTTGTTTAACAGCTAATGGATTCATCCTAATGCCTCTCAACACCATGCTGAGTGCTGTGTTTACCATCATCTCAACTTCAAGACCTTCTTCAATGAGTAACCTTATCAGGTTGTCCGACTTCAACAATATGTCAACTAAAGATGTATGTGATGTTGTAACCTTAATTATCGCTTCAGTTATTGTTTGAAATTGAGTTTTAAGAGTTGCTAGTTCTTCAGCGTGTACCCCATATTTGATAGCACCATATAATTTATGTTGCTCCATAAACCTCTGCTGAATTTGCCATGCAATAAGGAGAGCACTTTGAATGGAATCAGGTAAGGCCTCCTCTAAAAATTCTCGAGATTCATTGAGATTTAGTCCAATGCAACATTCAAATAGGATATCAATTATTGAAACAGCTGTGCGAAACCCATCCTTCATTTTCATGAAGTCAAATTTGAGAACAACAGAACACCACGATAGTAGATCATACTCCAATATATCCTGTTTCAGTGACTGCCTTTCTTTGCTGAATTCAGGATATTGATTTAGGAGTGCCCTGATTTTAATAAGATGAACTGGAATATCATTATCCTTGGCTTCTGAGACAGTTGAAGCAAGTTTTACAATTTCAGCATGTTCAGACATTATTCCAGTATTCAGTTATTACAAATCTAAAACCAAAGAAAATACAGAAATAATCATACATAATAAAATGGTAAATTGAACCCCTTGAACCCCATTTTCAGCATGTTCATGTATTATTCAGTTATTACAAATCTAAAACCAAAGAAAATACAGAAATGATCATACATAATAAAAATGGTAAATTGAACCCCTTGAACCCCATTTTCAGCTGTTCAGCCATTATTCAGTTATTACAAATCTAAAACCAAAGAAAATACAGAAATAATCATACATAATAAAATGGTAAATTGAACCCCATTTTCAGCATGTTCAGCCATTATTCAGTTATTACAAATCTAAAACCATAGAAAATACAGAAATAATCATACATAATAAAATGGTAAATTGAACCCCTTGAACCTATTTTGCGCTCTTTGCAGTGTTTCGCGCTGTATTCAGTAAGTAGTAAGACCCCCTTGAACCCCATTTTCAGCATGTTCAGCCATTATTCAGTTATTACAAATCTAAAATCAAAGAAAATACAGAAATAATCATACATAATAAAATGTTAAATTGAATCCCAACAAGATTCAATTTAGCACTCATGTACTCCCAGACTTTTAATAAAGTTCAGACGTTCGCTTAAAAAGCATCCTTCTCCAAATAATGATTCAATGTCGGAATACTGAAAAACCTGTTCATGACTGCATGGCCCGATTTTGATTTCCTGAGAACTGTTTTCAGTACCGGTACCGGAAATAAAATGACAGCACAAATATGTTTCCACTTTATTGTGTGTTTTCACATCGACACACACACCTATATATGTATACACTACTGGCAGACACGGGTCCCGGTAATAACGTTATATCACAGTATCACAATGCTTAAAACCTTAACGTCGATATATTATATGTAGTCAGTTTTGGAGTTGAGTTTGCAACAAAAGTAATGCATACCGTACATCAGTACCGGTTAGGGCTGGGAATTTCAGGGAAAACACTTTAACCGTTAACCGGGTATAATTAACCGGTTAAACGCCGCGTGACGTTTGACGTTATAATTTCAGCTTGTTACGTCATAATGCTTATAAAGCAATTTCGCGTGTTTTTATCCCGGTATTGCTTATTAAAATTATTCACGCATCGAGATAGTTTCATAATCTGCTGCAAGAGATGGGCAGCGTGGTTCGGGCATGTGGAAGTATTTTAGAAAACCCGATTCCATTGTTGCACGTCGTTTATGTGACAAATTTTCAGTGTTCGACATGCAAATTTTACTTCGAAATATATATCATATAAAGAAAAACGACATCAACTGCGCACTTGTTGTACGACATTGAATATCCAATTTTGCAATGAAATCGTGAACAATATATTTCGAAATTGACCGAAAACCGATTCTGAATTCATCATTGTCAAATTTCCATAATCAGCAATCTTGGTACTGCCATTATTTTTCACATTTATTGAGTCCTTAGCCACACAGTTAGTGATATTCTTTTGAATTAAATGCCACAAGAGATAAATTTGCGATGACCACGTCCCAAGATACTCGTCAAGCAGAACACAGAAGTCAATCAAATATATGGGTGTAAAGCTCTGGAATGTTTTACCTAATGCCATTAGATCGCTATCGTATGGTATGTTTGAAAAAAATTTGAAAAATAAATACATTAGTAACTATCTCTCTTCCTGTAACCATTGAAGTACCGTACCGGTACCGGTACCGGTACCGGTACTCGACAGTGTCGCCTACTAAATTGCTCGCTGTTAAGCAAGCCGGGCAAACAACAATAAGTGCAAGGAGTCTAATTCTAGAATACCCGCCGCATTAAATCTGGTAACTCCAAATGACTCAGTGAAAGTATGTTTACTGTTATTGGACACGTAGTGGACATAACGATCGTTTCAATATTATGTTGTTGTTGTTGTTCTTGTTCTTTGACACGTTTTTAAAAAGTCGCTTTTCTCTTTGATTACTGGGCTAATTGCTTTGAAATTTTCAGTGGTTGAAGATGAAATTTTTCTCCAGAAGGCTATTACTTTTATTTATTTCAAATATTTCTGTTAGCTCTGTAAGATTTGTTTTTGTTTGCTATGACGTCACTAAACGTTCTATGGATATCGGACGCCATTTTGTGTCCAACGGACCATCTTGCAATTTCAATTCACGCTGTCACAAGACAGGACCCTCTAAAGATAGAGAAGTTCTGGTACCGTAACACAGCGCGGTGACACTGAACTAACTCGTAGCTGTCAAAAGCTTGAAAATCCATACAAATATGAGAAATAAAAAGATGAAACTTGGCAGGTGGGTAGAGTTGTGTTTCTTTTAACCATATTTGAAAGTTTCGCGTTTCTACATTTGAAGGAGGGGGAATAGGGGGTGTGCATTTCCGATACGTCGATAATATCTTTGTCAACCAATTTGCGGCCACCTTGTTTTCGTCTGTTTGATTGCTGTGATGTGGTGCTTTGTTTATAATTTAACAAGTTTTGTTCGAAATAACCGTGTTCTTGAAATATATGACGGTCAGAAATGCAATTAGAAGCCCAATGTTTTCACGCTGTCACAAGACCAACAATTGTCAACCAATTTGCGACCACCGTGTTTTCGTCCGTTTATTTGCTGTGATGTGGTGCTTTGTTTATAATTTGACGAGTTTTGTTCGAAATAACCGTGTTCTTAAAATATATGACGGTCAGAAATGCAATTATAAGCCGAATGTTTTCAAAGATAGAGAAGTTCTGGTAGCGCGGTGACACTGAACTAACTCGTAGCTGTCAAAATCTTGAAAATCCATACAAATATAAGTGATAAAAAGATGAACTTTGGCAGGTGGGTAAGGAGGATAGGGGGGTGCGCATTTCCAATACGTCGATAATATCTTTGTCAACCAATTTGCGACCACCGTGTTTTCGTCTGTTTGATTGCTGTGATGTGGTGCTTTGTTTATAATTTAACAAGTTTTGTTCGAAATAACCGTGTTCTTGAAATATATGACGGTCAGAAATGCAATTAGAAGCCCAATGTTTTCACGCTGTCACAAGACCAACAATTGTCAACCAATTTGCGACCACCGTGTTTTCGTCCGTTTATTTGCTGTGATGTGGTGCTTTGTTTATAATTTGACGAGTTTTGTTCGAAATAACCGTGTTCTTAAAATATATGACGGTCAGAAATGCAATTATAAGCCGAATGTTTTCAAAGATAGAGAAGTTCTGGTAGCGCGGTGACACTGAACTAACTCGTAGCTGTCAAAATCTTGAAAATCCATACAAATATAAGTGATAAAAAGATGAACTTTGGCAGGTGGGTAAGGAGGATAGGGGGGTGCGCATTTCCAATACGTCGATAATATCTTTGTCAACCAATTTGCGACCACCGTGTTTTTGTCTGTTTGATTCCTGTGATGTGGTGCGTTGTTTATACAGGTACTGGTAAGTCACCGAATATGATTTTTTGGAGAATTGTTCTGCGTGTCCATATATTTGAGCATTGCTCTCTTGTTTTAAAAGTACCGGTAATAAATTTTAGCTTAGTCCATCACAGCTATTTCTACACTAATTTTTTATTACTGCAATTAAATTAAAACTCCGAGGAAGACAGAGTGATCATTGAATTATCTGATTTATATTCAAGTTTCCGAAACACAACTGAAAACTAACGAATAGAGTTCAAAAACGCGAAAACGAGGTAATGTTTACGACCACGCGGATGCGAAAAGGGAGCATTGTTTCGTCACTTTTTGCATCTTGCTGATTGGCCAATGTCACGAAGTAAACAAGGAAGTCGATGCTCGGGGCAAGGTCCATAACCTTTCGCCTCACAGCCTGTTTCTAGTCACCTTTTTTTTTTCGTTTTTTCATAGCTCACCGGTACTTTTTGACTTACGATTCGGATTCCAACCCACACCTATGCTTGGTGCATTAATGTCTAGCTTCATTTACGCCACCACTACTGACGAGGATCGCGTGTGCAGAAAAAGGCTCACGTTCACGATAACTCTGAAATCATATATGTAGATAAAATCTAGTTGGCTCACGCTTCCTACGTCTTTGTTTGTTCATGTTACACTCATCATGCTACCTCTCGCTATGCTTGAATGCGACTACACTCTCGCCTTTCTCGAATGCACGACAATAAGCCGATATCAGAGAGAGATAGATTTATTACTTGTCAACCAGAAAACAAGCATCGCAACAAACATCAGTTTTTGTACTTGGTTATTTTATTCATTTCTTATCACATATAGTTTTTGCACGATGAGAATAAATATCCGAAACGCCCACCGCATTTTTGTAGGTTGTAGTCTTTGTTTGTAAATATGCGAATAAGATATGTGGTGCGGTATACAATCTGGCAGGTTTCGGTACATACCCAACGCGCCTACCTAACTTTTTAGGATATTATATCAGGTTATATTTTACATATAAGATAATTTAAAGGATATCTAGTCCAGTGAAAAGTTTTAAAATATTTTTCTTTATCACGATGCTTACTAGCGCCTTTCGCTCCAATCAAGGCAAGATACAAACGGCCACTAATAAGTAACGATATCTGAAAGGAGCGGATCGCTCACGAACGAAACAAAATAGTGTTGAAAAAGACGAGTTGTGCAAATGCCATAAAATTGCTTCAGAAAAAAATTCTGGTTTGGTCAGGGTGGCATGTCTGCAAATATTCAAAAAGGATAGTTGCAAATCATTATGAACAAATTGCCGATTATTAACTGGTTTCCGTTAGAGAGTTGTCAAAAAAAAACGAGAAAATTTAATTAAATGATAAATTTAATCTACTGTATTTTCTTTGTATATAGCTATACTGCCCATCAAGCACTCCTTACAGGTGAATGGACAGTCTTAAAAGCCCAGGATATATGTTATTTAACAGAAACGATATAAAAAAACTTGAAAACCACTTAAAGATATCCAGCCACAGTGAACTCAATTAATATAAAAGTCATTTTACACGGAGAATTTTATTAGTAAAGTTAAAAGCACACACAAAACAGAATTTAACCGTGATAGGTTGTAACAGAAATTGCTGGCGTCCTGAATTGTGGTTTTCTCATGCTTAAAGTCCGCAAGTTCCATAGTTATCAAGCTGTCACTTGAAATCGCGACGTATTCAGCAGAATTGAGGATGATTTGCAATGCATATGAGACAAGAGTGCCTATGATAACATCCGACCCTTTAGATCAGTTGTTCTCAACCTTTTTTAGAGTCAGACAAAATTTCAAACCTTAAAGTTGTGAGGAGCCGGATAAAAAAAATGCAAATTAAAGTAGCAAGAAATACAAACTTAGGTATGTATTTTATAATAACAACATCAACCAAATTTGGGGTAAAACTGTTTTGACGACAAACTTGACATCGGCTTTGACTTTTCTGAAGTCTGAAAAGCGAGGCGCAATTGTAATGGATGCATTCTTCAGCAATATATATATATATAACAATAGCTAGATTCATATTTTCATAATGATATATATTTCAATTTGGAAATACTTCTTTTTTCAATCACATTGAAACGCCGATTATATTTATAAGAGTGCGAGCTTTTTTAAAGCTTTGCTTGAAAAATTAACAAATAAATATGTGTTCGGATACCTAAAACAGAATAAAACGACTTACATCTAGATTTTTAGCATATAATAACTTGAACTCAGACCCCACTAATCCACAGAAAGACTAATTTTGAGCGAGTATAGAATTAGCAAAAAACGGTGATCAATTTATGTTGAATTGAGTAAGTCGAAAGCTTTCTAGCATGCCGCAGCAATTACTCAAAATGATATAAACTTAAAGATGTCAATACACGAGTTTGAATAAGTCCAACGTTATTGAAAATATTAGTCGACTAGTCGAGTCATATTCCCCGCGCTTCCAATTAGCATGATACACCCACAGTGGAGCGAGAGACCAATGACTTAGCTCTACTAAACAAGAATTTTTCGGTTCATAAAGCACAATACAGTTTGATTAATTTAATTGATATGTGAAAATATATCATCGCATTTATTGTAACAAATTTCACTAGAATGGTTGTCGCGAAGTTGAATCACACAAAAATCCATTTGGTAAATCATTCACTTATTCATTAAAATTCGTGTACAGTATTGATACTATAAACAGGTAAAATAAGTTGGCTCAAAACAACATTAACCTTATCGGCAAGAAATTTTAACACTTATTTTAGGGTATAAAATACCATAAACCTCGTGAGAATATGACGAAAAGGTAATGTGAACTAAAACATTTCTAATGCATCACAAGGTGACAAACAAAGCAAAAGTCATTAGACAAAGAGATTTTAAACGGCGTATGTGTGGGGTGTTGCGAAGGTGTGTTGGTTCCGATTCGTGCTCACAGAGTGTAACGCCCCGCCTACTGTGTTGCTGATTGGTTATCAGTATAGTCACATGCACAAACATATGACTTGGTAAACAAAGACATGCTGCATGTGTTACGTTTTGCTCAGAAGTCTTTGTGTTCGACTGGTGTTGCAATTCACCGTTGAATATACGGGATATAGGTTGGAAACAATATGTGGCAGCGTAATTTATTGATCTACGCCACCTGTTTTTATGGAAATCGATATATTCCGGGGATGTTCTATCAGGAAAGTGCCTGCTGGACTGAGTGACCAGGAGTTACGGTACCTGATTTACTGGTTTGGGTTACAGTTCTGCAGTCAGACAGTAGCGTCTTATCTCTGTATATCTTGTGTACCGTACCGGTATTCCGTGAAGCCTCCAAAGATATTTGGTCCTCGACCGGTTTACCACCATCGATCGAACGTGTTTACCCTGCCAACATTTCAGCATATTCTTATATTGAAGTTCAGCTTCTCAAAATTCAGACATTGCATGTAATGTCAGAATGTTGTATGAAAAAAATCCTTGTCTGCTTGACAAAGCAGTAGAAAATATGTGAAATTGATGGCTTTACAACCTTACGAGGGCTTCTCAACATGCTTTAATAAAATGCTGTTTAAATTATAAAATTGCATAAATCTCTTCATCAATAAACTTGACCAACATAGAAAAATTGTCCATTAAACAAAGTCAGAAAGCTGAAAAGTGAAGAATACTGGCATATTGAATATAAAGATTTTTAAGCTAAGTTAAACATTTTATCGCTATTAGACCAAAGTTAACCATTTGTATATATCAGTATATTAATGATTGAAAAACAAGTCTGACATTTTTTTTATGATGCTTATGACAGAGATTATTCTGATTTGGTATTGCTCATACAAAATTGAAAAACTGAAAAACTAGATTATCTAGCTATAATATATGGAGCAATATTATAACAGGAGTATTCTTTGCACTTTTGTTATCAACATTTTCTTTTAAATTTAGTTTTCTTGTCATTTCAGCATTTACATGAAAATAGCCTTTTTGACTTTATACACCCAAATACCACTCTTCTATCTATTGCCAATCAATGTTTTATATGTGCTAATAAGTACCTTATTTTAATATTCAGATATTAGTTAATCATTTTATTATTATTTGAACAATTTTAAGAAATACTTATATGGCAGTGTCACTCTGGGGTGGTGCTGGGTTGAGGTGGATCAAGGGACCAGGGGGATGGCAAGAAGATGTTACACAATCAGAAGTTATAGTTGATTCTATTCACATGTAAGTTAAATTTTCTCTACTATAGCATCGAAAGTTATCTGTATGCCTTTTTATTTATGAAACAAGACAAATGATTGTTGTAACAATTGATACTGATACATTTCAAAATATCTCAAGATGATTTGTTCTGGCTATTTGCTATTATATATCTGCATATATTTGACCTCTAATTCCTCATGATTTTTATGATCTCATAGCGGATTTGCGAAATAAAGTCTTTCGTTATTAGTTCGTTAAGTTATCTATATTTTACGATTTGAAAGTACTTAGCTCATTCATATATATATGCTCCAAGATGTATAAATATACATTTTTTCAGAAATCAAGTCAAGAAGACAATCGAAATGTTTTTAAGAAGCAAACAACAAAAAGCTTACAAGCGCTTGTATTCATATCTTTCAGCTGCTCCTGGTATATTTATTTAAAAATTTGAGTATTTTAACTCATTCACATTCTGCATACAGTTTTGGGATATATGAAAGCTTTATATTCAGAAAAAGAAAATGTATAATCTGAATGGATTACTGGGTATATAAATTTGTATATAGCCTTTTCTTTTTAATTCCTCATGTAAAAGTGGTCTTTTCAAATAAAACACATAAAATATTTGCAAGTGTAAATGAGATTTACAATACTTATATACACAACATTCCATTCATCACATACAAAGTGCGAATCTCCCAATAACCACAGCTATTTATTTGTTTTTTTCAGTTTCGAAATGCAGTGCTAAAGAAAGTGTTACTTGGCTACAAATTTCATCAGAGGGAAGTAAAGAGGTATATATTAAGTTAACATTATTGGCAAATAATTAAATTTTATAATCCTTCAAAATTTTTATTTTATTTTCATTCTCAATAAAAAAGAAATTTTGAATGAAGATACATGTTTTCTTCTTCTCACAAAATGTTTTGCGAATATTCAAGATGAACTGAATACATCTAAATTATTTATATTTTATATAAGAAATTGTAGATTTATATTATTACCGTAGTTCATAATATTTTCATTTATGCCATTTCACTTACTTGAACAGACTCATTTAATGATTTATAAATGATCCAATCAATGTTTATCATTAATTTTTCGATATTACAAAATTAAATGTCGATCAAAATACAATGATTTGCATATGTGTCTGCTGAACAGACTATCTTTGGATAGTTAAATCTTCTCCTGCTCATAATTTTGTATGTTCTGATTGATGATATGAAACTCTAAGGTATTATACTGTACTGAGAAATATTGATCACCACGATTATGCCAAGTGTGTTATAAATGAACTTAACCTTTATGGCATTGATTAGACCCTAAAACTATAATTTATGTGGTGACTGATTGATGGATTTCTTTTTATGACAGGAGTAATTATATCATTAGTTTTATAAATAAATTCAACTTTGTGATTGATAATAAACATATTTGCATACATTTACATATAACTTAGCAATGCTTTATATACGGTAATATAAAACAATCGTTCGAAGGTGCATTTGAAAATAGGGCAAATACAATGGATTTTGATATGTGTATAACCTAATTTTATATTGGCTCGGAATATGGTTATGTCATTATGTGGATAGGTAGATACTTGCGTACTGAATAAAAAATGGTAAATGTTAGAATAAAAAGTTGTTCTTGATTTCATTTATTCTAAATTCTGTTGTACGATGTTCAGTGTCATGGATATTCGACTCTTGGTGAACTTCTGCGCCGACTACATTTGTCTGGTTCTGTCTGGCAGCAGGGAAGATTTAAGTATGTTATTTGTTTGACGGAGCTTATTGTAAAAAAGAAATTGTCAACTCTCAGCGTTACATCCAGAAAACACCTGTTCATTCTTGTTGAAACTTTGATCCAGCGAGGTAAGAATTAAAAATATACACTTGTTCAATTTCAGACGTCGATTTTCGTATTCATTTCAGGCAAGAGATTGCTCAGGCTGCCATTTATACAGCCATTGATTTAGACAATTTTATACTATGCACTAAATACCCTAATCAAATCTATGCACAAAGATGTTGATCAAAAGTAAACAAGACATGTTGGTTTGCATATCATTGCTGCTGAGTGTGTTGTAAAAATTATCAATTTTTCGAACTTTCAGAAAAATGATCAACACATTCACTTGATCACTTGTTTATTGCACTAAGAATATATTCAATAATTTTTAGTGATTGAAACAAGTGAAAGAATTAGACAAATGAAAAGGATTGTTGCTGTTGTTTTCCGTAATGTCATGAAAAAAAATTATTTCGTTGGTTCAAAATTGGCCTGGTTTGCAGAAGTTGAGAAAGTTAGAGACTGGACATCTCGACTCAATCGTTTGACAATCTCACCAGTATGTAGTTATACTTCTTATATTGTCTTTTTATATTTGCTTCCTTTTTTTGTATTCAACTTGGTTTTTATTTTCACTAAATGAAATACTTTCTGTATAATGATTTTGAAATATAATTATATTTTATAAATTATATAATTATATACAAATTATATAATAATTTGATCTGTGGTCGATTTATAAGTCATGCATTATCACTGCTGTATGATCCAAGTGTTATTTATATTATATTGCAATTGTATATCACAGCCACAGGGTTTACATTATGTTACAAGCTTTACTTTCATGTCATTCCATTATTTCAATTTTAGAGAATTGACCTACAGTTATCAATACCTGATCTTCCAGTATGTGTTCAACGCAATATTATAAGGATGCTTGATGATCATGAAGATATTGAGAGCTTGTCTCATGTTAACAAGACTCTCAATCATCTTTGCAAAGAATCAGATGTTTGGAGGAGCATATGCTTCAATCATTTTACAAAGGTGAGAATACGAAACATGATACTGAGTGATAAATAAAGCACGACCGGTGTATAGTAAAACGATGTAATTTGCCGACGTTTCAAATCATCGACATGAATATCATCATCAATATGAATATACCTGGTGGCAATCATGCGCTATGATATTGAGTGGTTAAAAAGAGATGCATTTGTATCACACTTTTGAGCCAGCCACTGACTATAACACTTTTGATTCTTGTTATGGTACCTTTGTAATCAGCGCTTACAGCGCATCTTATACAAAAGACAGATGGAAAGGAGCAGTATATGTTAATGCTTGATTCCAACCAACCATAAAACAAAGATTATACTTCAATATTTACCTAATATTTTAAATTTTAATTTTAGGAATTTTAAAATTGATATAGACGAGTGATTAATATATGTTAGTTGGGTAAAAAGTTAGAAGTTGATTTGAGCATTTTTTTTTATTATTTCAAAATCTGTAAGCTATTTTCAATTTTATTTAATTTGTCATTCACGAAAACTATTAACTGAAAATGGTAAGTAGATGATATTGGGTCATTTTTGTCATTAGTGTCGAGGAATACCATACCGTGGTCTTTCTCAATCATTTCAAATAATTGGTTTCAATATATCCCCTAAAATGATAGTGAACATAAATAACTTTCTGCAGAATCAACTTGAAGAGTGCGAGGCAGTGTTGGAGCGGAGGAGGCTGAAAGGATCTCTCAGTGGAAATGATGTGGAGTTAACTTGGAGAATAAAATATCATTTTATGCTGAAGTAGGTCTTGCTTTTTCTGTTAGCTTCATTGAATCATAATATATTGCGAAGTAGAATTAAATATTTTATTGGCAGCGAAGATATTCTTTAAATCATTATTCCACGCTTTTGATAAAACATTACAAAGGGAAATTATTGCACTATTATCAAGCAGTTCTGGTTAAATAGCAGAAAACACAAATTCATTATCATATTTAGGTTTATAAAATTTTATCAAAGCAAATTAATTTTTATTTAAAATGATACAAGTGATCGAACAATTGTGTTTAAATTCTTCGTTCAAATATGACAAATATAATCTGTTACTAAAAATCTTTTTGTATAAAAATGAGATATGTCTATACTTCAAAGTTTCATTATTCAATTAATAATTTTAAATATATAATGGAAATGTTGATCCATATATTTTTCTGACTTACAGGAGATTTGAAATACAAGAAACCTTCGCAGATCCTCTTCTGCTTTGCAAACGATGCTATACTGTATTTTGGAGGGTATGAAATTTTTTTTTAAAAACTGTTAGTAGCAAATTGAGTTGTAGCGGGAGAGTGCTTTATTTCATTATTCTTTCTAAATCTGTATGTTTGCACAAACAAACACATCACAGTTCATATTCTCATTTTGTTTCAGGAATCCGGCCACCCATGTGTTGGAAATGTATCAGAGACTACTTATATGCCTATCCATCCAAAACAATTAATTTCTCTTCTTTGAAGCTTTTGCTGCTGTTGTATTTTGTTATTATCTTTGCTGCTCTTGTAAAAATTGCTTCATATAATGTTTGACACATTTTTTTATGCATGGTGAACCTGTCATGTACATTAAAGTCAAAATGTTATGTGCTCTCCTTGGAATAACTTTATTAATTAAACAAAATAAGAACTGTTAAAATGAAAATAAACACTTATTAGTATTTGGAGTAGAAAAACTATTTTTTATTTTTACTCAATGGTAAAAATGACATGAATTGTTATTGTATGCTTTTATAGTGACTAATTTGTCATAATATGAACACACAACAAGAAGTTCCTTTTTTATTGCAGTAAATTTGATTCTTTTTTCTTTTATTGTCCTATATTGCCCTTTCTTCCTATCTTGTCGATTCATTGTTATTTTATTGCGCAAGCATTGTGAATGCGCTGCAAGCTTTATAAATTTACCAACTGTTATTTCGAAATGAAGCTATTTCTATCATGTTGCTTCAATATTTTCTCATATGTTTGAAATATAGTGTTACGGAAACACACTGTCGTCAGCCAACTGGTTTTCATAGAATTTTGCACTTTTATTATGTTTCTTTACTAACCTTTCTACAGTTATATGACTAATATTCGCTTATTTTAATCTGACATGTAATATGTAACACATATGTTCACCTATGTATGCTAGATATACCATAGCATTAAAGTACACTATCATATTGAAGTAAATGAAATTCATTCTGCAGTGCATTTCTGAGTGAACAATGAAATAATCAAAGCCCTAACAATTTATATTATGGTTTTACCACCAACACCGCTAAAAACTAAAGTTGGCATGAAACGATATCATATGCCCTTTTCTATAGCTTGCATTTTCATTGTCTGAAAAACTGTATCAAGTCTTGAAATTTTATGAATTGCAAATTCAAAATTGGCATACAGAGAATTTCATCATAAAACCCAAGCAAGTTGGTGAAAATCTATATCATAATGTTATTGGGATTTTGAAAGCATTATTGTTATTTCACTTTCTGCACAGATCATACTGAGAAGGAACTTGTCGGTATTTCCCTTTTTTTCCTTGCTTTATTCAGCCTACTTCAGAGCATCCAATCCTTTACAATATATTGCCATTATTATGAGTTATTTTGCTATATCATCCACTGCAATTTTATTTGTAAATACTGTGATTTGTTTTGTACAATATGTTGATGAAACATTGTAAAATGACTCATAATTTGTAGGGGCTTAAGTGAGATAAACAATTACCGGGGTCATGTCTATTTACCCTTTCCATGTATCCATCCAGCAATGGTACTATAGAACGAAAGTCTCGTACACTCACTATGAGGTTTTGCGACCTTCACCAGGATGGAGTTATCGCTCTGGGTGTTATTCATCGTGTGTATGAAATTACACACAATCCAAGGAAACGAATACCAAAAGTTCAAAGCCAAATCTGCGCGGGTGGACACCCGAATTCGTACCGCAAACGTTCGACAAATTACAGGATAATTCAAGGTCCATCTGTCGAGTCAGCGGCCATGGTCGCTATGTGTGTTGTTCGATTTTTTCGAACGTAAAAAGAATTGTATTGAATTAAATTATAGAGAACAATCCTGTTGCGCCAACTGTTGTAGTTACATCTATCTGTTCTTGGTCGGACTGAAGCAGATGAGAAAAAATCACAACAATCTGTCTCCTTAGTCACTTATTGTAACTGGCCGTTGTTATTTACAAACGGGGTTACGGCGCTCGTGTTGTCTACGTCTGAATTTTGGATCCATGTCAAAGTTGTAGTGAGTAGCGTTTATAGCAAACAAATCACGAACATTCCAAAAAATACGCGGGTACATGAGTACAAATGTCCGTGGGTGCAAAAGTATGTACCGTGCTTCCCCGTAAATAAGACTGGGTCTGATTTCAATTTTCTTCCGAAAAATAACACTAGGGATTATTTTCGGGGGATGTCTTATATTTTTATTTATCAAAATTACAAATTAGAGAATCACGAGATTTTTAAATGTGCAAAAAATGAAAACCGATATTCATTTACGGTATTTATAAGTAACACGTTTTTATTTAGAATAACTGCAAAACATAGATTACATCATTTACAACGTGTAGAAGAGATTTCTTGCTATCGACCAGATCAAAAAAAAATTCGCGTTATTGACTAGGTCTTATTTTTAGGGGAGGGCTTATATTGAAGCTAGGTCTTATTTTCAGCGTAGGTCTTATTTTCGGGGAAACATGGTGGGTGTAAATGTACGGCGGTCTCACTACTTACTGAATACAGCGCAAAGCAGAGGGAAACAGCGGAAAAAATAGGGAAACAGCGCAAAAGCAGAAAAAAAAAAATTGCAATGAGTTAGGGCACCTTTTTTGAGTTGGGGTACCACGGCAGCAAAAAACACAAACCAATGCATGTAGGCTGTAATGGCAGGTCTGCCCCCGCTGGTGACACATTTTGGGTACCGTAATTTAGAACATTTTCTATATGTATACAGATTTGATTGATTTGGCTTCAGGGTTAGATAAAAAAAAAAGTAGATAAAATTTTGCATGATGACCTAGAATTCGGTACATAACCTTGTAAATATACCAGAAATAGCGCCATAAATCCATGGTTCTTTCATAGTTAACTTGTTACTTCGTGGCGGGAGGTGGTAATAACTGCGTCTCCTGTTTTGCGCTGTTTCGCGCTCTTTGCGGTGTTTCGCGCTGTAGCAAGTAGTAAGGCCCAATGTATGGTACGTGGGTGCAGGGATAATGGAACCGTATGTTGGATAGTTCATTTCCAAAAAAATCTAAAATTTTATTTGATGATAATCACACTTTTTATTTTAAATGCCGCGCGTCACCAGGTGACCAGGGTAACGCTAAAATGCGGGGAACAGAGGGAAGTGCACTAAAAAGTGGGAATGACAGGGAAACTGCCAAACCTAAAATACGGCAACAAAAGGGAATTTCACGAAAAAACAGGAATGAGGAGAAATTGGTAGTACAGTAGTCTAGTACTGGAGGTATTAGTACAGGTAGTAGGCTGTGTTAAAGTGTTAGGTTAGGACTTGTCACATGTCTGCATGCAGACTTAAGCGTCCGTTTTTCTCAAATCTCATATTTTTGCATTAGTGGCAGAGGCTTTGTACGGTACGGTACCGCTATATGCTGGTAAGGTGGTTGATAGTTCCGCGATTTTCATGATGATAACTCATTTTAATAATCTTTATAGTGGAATTCCATGCTGATATATGCTGCGGTACGGTACCGTACCGTACCTACTGTACAGGGCTGACGGCTAACTTTGTTACCATTTGCACAGTAGGTATTGTAACCAAACACATTTAATTTAATATATTTATCCTTACTATTGAAGTTGTTAGTATAAACAGCCACCTTTCCATCTCCCATTACAAGAAGAGCCTCCACACAGTTGCAGGCTAACCCGTTAACCGCCGTCGCATGGCGAGTGGTCCATGGCGAGTTAGCCCTCATGGCGAGTTAGCCTCCACCCCTGTACAGTACTGGTATAACCAGTTCTGCCATTTGTACAGGTACGGTAGGCTATTCAATACATCGACCTTTTATATTTCCTATTTTCAAGCTTCTCAGTATTATTGTTATTGGTATCGTAATTCAATAATTATATATCTGGCAATTAGTGTTGTCTATTATGTATAAGGATGTCACAGAAAAACTTTCATCTGTGCGAATTCGAACACTTGTGCTTGCAGTTATTGCTGTATCTGTGTCATACTTGGGTGTGTGGTATTACAAAAGGCCTAAACAAGTAGAGCCGTATGTTAAGAATCAGTGGCATAATTTGTACTTGCTATCGGGACCATTCCAGACATGGAATGTACCCCTAATTATCTTTGATGTTGAGATACTTCCTCATGTTTTCAAGCCTCGCAGGGAAATTTGGCATGATCCTGCATACACCTGTCGCATTCTTTGCAAGCATCATCCAGATGGCAATAACCTTCTTACATTTGCCATCTTGGCGAGAAAGTTTATCCCAGAAAAGGATAAGATAATAGATCGTTTACAGAAATTTGGATTTGCCACCCATTTATCAATGGTTCCAGATCCGAGACTGCATGATGCGAAAGAAGTGATAAAAATTCCAACATATTTGTGGCTTGCCAGAAACGATCATGTCATTCATATTACCATATTGCATGAACGACATGGAAATTATTATTGGGCTGGACCTGTGACCGATTCAGATTGGTTCAACATGGTGAATGAACTAAAACCACAACTTACTATTGACTGGAGAACGTTGAATGGTGCAGTTTTCCCAAGATATGCTCAAGCGTATGAAATGTCACATCACTTGACTGGAGTTGCTACAAAAATAGATAAGCATGAATTTATTGTACCTTACAATATTAAGAGTTTTCTCAAAGAATACAAAGAAGCCAGATTTATTGAATGTGACCATGAAAGAGCTAAAAAGTACAGGGATGAATATCCTGTAATTGCGACACAGGAGGAATATGTATATCAATCTGATGCTAAGAAGTTACTTATCCGAGCAAAGAAAGTATTAAATAAATTAGGAATTCCATTTTGGCTCAGTAGTGGAACATTGCTTGGATGGTATAGAGAATGTGGCATTATTCCTCACGGTATTGATGTGGACATTGGCATCTGGATTCACGATTATCATAATGAAATTATTCCTGCAATGGAACGTGAAGGATTGATGCTTAAGCATGTTTTTGGAAGAATACAAGACAGTCATGAGCTTTCATTTATTGACGAAAAAGATGTGAAACTGGATATTTTCTTTTTTTATCAAGAGTCTGACTCTGTATGGAATGGTGGCACCAGAGCCTATGATGGAGCAAAATTTAAATACAAATTTCCGAAATTTTCATTGTGCTGGACAGAACATCTTGAAGATAAATTTCGAGTACCATGCGAGACTAGATCCTACATTGAGGCAAATTATGGAGAAGATTGGGATAAACCAGTAAAAGATTGGGTCTGGTACTCATCACCGCCAAATGTAGAAGACAACGGATATTGGGAAAAAAGTGAGTGGAATGAAGTGATTCAAGTTTATGACAGAGTACGTAATCAACCAAAGGTCAAAGTAGATCTGTGAGATTGAGACAAGATGATTTATATCTTGGCGATTTTCCGAATTCTAGGAAATAACTGTGTACAATATTACTCCATAGCTCAAGTTTGCACATGCTATTTGTTTGATAAAGTAAGTGTAACTACTTCAAGATTAAGCATTAGGTCTGAAATTCTTTTTACTGTTTGTCCATACAAATCTCTGTTCAAAATGTGAAAAAAATTATGACAATCTATTCATTTCTGATTCAGAATATCTAAGGCTTATGAAATTTCCTCATTCCTTACAGGATTCTTGTCACATTTCCATGTTACTGATGGTCTCACTTGTAACATTCTAGCCTTTCTGTATTGTTTTCATTTTAGGGAAGTTATTTTTTGATGATGATTAATTGTTGATTTAGTTAGAAGGTCTCTTTACACTACTGCCTAAAACTAATCATAAAATACATCAAGTGATATGATTGACATGATTCTTTCATAAGAACAGTGACATAGCGCATTTGCATTTTCTTTTAACCACTAATTTTCTGATATATATGTTATCTATTTTTTACTACTGAATTCTGATTGATTAACTTCTTCAAACAGTAACTAATAATTGTAGATGTAAAGTTTATCCTAATCAAGTTTTCAGCACTACATCGTCACATATTCATCATATTGTCTTACAGTCCTTACCTAAAAACTGCACATATCTTAGAGGAAATTTGAGCTGCTATATATTTATGCTAGATCGAGGGAACAATATTCTGTGCATTGAATTGTTTTGTTGTTTTTACTGACAGTAAGAGAATCACTGTTACTTTTTATAATGCTTTAAAGGTTTACCACTGTTTAGTTCAGTTTTGTTTTTCTTTGCAAATGTTTCATTTATTTTTGTATGTTACATTTTATTGATACGAGTTCGTTCATTTTAAAGAGTATTTAAATATAGGTAGTTTATTAATAAGATACTGGACGATAAATCAGGAAAATGAAGCAAATATCGGCCATTTGTGCCTGATAGTCATAGAGGTGTTTTGCAGAACTCTATTCCCAGCAATTGTACAATCGGCTACGTCTGTTTCGTTTTCATAAAGGTCAGTTATTGCGTGTTTATGCAAAACTTATCGGTACAAAAGTTGCAGACAGTTTCCTGATATACTAACTCGTAACTATTTATCAAAACTGTTTTGCGTGAGAAATGGTGTTATAATCAAATCACTAGCTAAACCGAACCACCTAAATGTACAAGACAGTCGTATAATTAGCGTCAGCGAACTGGACGTTCGATCCCCCATAGGAGCGAATATATCACGAGACTGTGCAACGGGCGGGCGATAACCCGGCCCGCCAAGCCATTCAATGTGGCAATTATCAATTCTCAGATTTTTCTCCAAGCATCAACCTCTAATGCGATAGTTTATGTTTGAAAAGGTGCTTACATGGATAAAAATACATGTTTTTTTGCACTTGTCATTGCGTTGAATCTTCCACCGTATTTTTGCCTGGTGCTTTTATCGTTGTAAGGCTAAGTGGTTCCCGCCTTTCCCGCTAAATTTTTTGTGTGGCCCGGTTAGATGTCTGAAGTTGTTTATTTTATATGGCCCACCGACAAAAAATCTTGCACACTTTTGGTATAGCACTATTGAGGTCCAGTTTTCTAGACGGAGATCTGAACCTGGAAGTTTATAGAGCATCGATCCAGGACGGTGAGTTGAAGTTGATTGAGTATTCGCAACTAATAAGAATTTTCTTCGCGAAATCGGGCTTGTGCTTTTTTTCTTATCGTGTACAAAACGATCGCACCGCCTTGCGCGCAAATGTCAAAGGTATAGGTGGTGCGGAGATAAAACACAAATAAATGTACAAATAAATTGTATTAAATTAATGTACATTTTGTTGAATGACTTTATTATGAAGGGTTTCGCTGACGTCCAGTATTGGTTTATCGCATCTTGATCATTTATGAACCGTTTTTTTTGTTTCGACGCATATTACCATCCTCATATATTTGCATTCATGGACATTAGCAATCATCGATATCAGGGTGGGTCAAACTGCGGTCCGCTAAACAATTTTGAATTATTTTTAAACTATTCCAACTGGCAATTGCTCTTTTCCTAATCCCGATGTCGGGATTGAAGATTGTTAAAATCACGGAATTTCAATGTTCGCTTATTTTTCGTCTATATTTATTTGATCTGCACATACGTACTACATTGTACCATGGGGCGGATCATGCCCCGTTGGTGCCCTAAGCAATGAAGACTTTGGTGCCTCCTTATGTGTAATTTAAAATATAAAAACAGTAAACCACATAAGTGTATTATCCATTAAACATAATCACAACCAACAGTAAATAAAATAACTTTTAAGAAGATTTTTAGGTTTTTTAAATAACCGATATATAGGCTATAGGCCGTTTACTGCCGATATGATATCGGCAAACACGCAATATCGGGGCGATATATTGGTTGAGCTCTAATCCTGAAGGAGTGTGACAATGAAGATTCATGCGTTCAATCTCAACGTGAATCGAAGTACCAAAAGATACCAGTCACAACTACTGTAGTTTGAAATTTTACCGGTACCCAGTAGTCTACCTCAAGGTTGAAGGACCGCAAAAACTTCTCGCGGGCCGCAAGTCGGAGAAAACCCAAAAGTGATCGAAATATCGCGATATATACTTCAAATTTAATAAACAACGAGAGTTGCCTTCAGTTATTTTAAAATTAATTCCCGAGAATTACAGTTGTATTTCCTGCATTTAGGAAAACGACTCATATGCCCCTTTCGTGTCCAATAAATAGGTTTCAGGTTTATTTTTAATGAAGAAGGTTGATATGTAACTTGGAGACGAAAAATAAGCGAACATTTTGAAGTTTGAGTTGTCTGGTGAACTCGTAATGTTTTATTAAACACCGATAAACTATATAAAATTCTGCTATAAAATTTCTGGTGTGCCCCTCTTTGCTTGGTGCCCTAATCACGCGCTTATATTTTTAATGGTTAATTCAGCGCTGATTCTACCCACGAATGTTGTTGAGCGGGCAGTTAATCTCTCCCCATCTGTTCTACCGTAAATATATGGTTCTACATCTAATGTTGGCGTGTCGGGTTCTGTAGCATGCGTATCATAATATTTTCTTCAAATGGCTGTTCACATTCTGACATCTGCATGCGCATGTTCTCTTTTTGTTCAATATTGGATTTTTGACATTACACATGCATGGTCTTTGTTTCTATTTGGGTGGTGTAATACCTTATGAGGGATATAGACGGTATAGTTTAGCTGTTGTACCTATTATTGTAATTAGGCGACCAGTCGAGATATATTGAATTCTCCCCTTCGTTTTAATTTGCTGCCAAATTTGTATACACACAAGACAAATCATAGAATACCACAGCAAATTAAAACGAAGGGGAGAATTCAATATATCTCGACCGGTCGCCTAATTACAATAATAGGTACAGCAGCTAAACTATACCGTCTATATCCCTCATAGGGTATTACAGGAGGTCCTAAAATTTTATCCTAGGTTAAAGTTCTGCTGTGAAGTTATCGTGAAGGCCAACATACGAATGGTTGGTGTGGTTTGAGAGGGTTTGCATGGTTTTCGAGACATTTACCCTGTGTCCCAATCAGAATTCAACTCAGGTCTTCCAACTAGCGTTGTAAAGATAAATAACTAATGATCAATATCTACTCGAAATAATAATTTCTTCTCAACAAAAGTGTAGGGTAGTGTTGTTTCCTAATATGTAAACCTCGAATATTCTACTCGCAGATTTATTTTCTGTTTTTCAGGTCGTTTCGTGATGATCAATTCAACAGCTAGCTTATTGAATATAAATAGTGTCTACGTCAACAAAATTCGCAGGCTGATGTATCATCCATGATAAATTTGAATTGACATCAATTGCGTCAAAATATTCAAAAAGATCCTGTGAAATAACAATCCCATATCCTTTATCCTTGCAGAAGTCAATATCTAAGTATGAAAAACACCCTTACTTATAACCTTGGTAACGAACATAGTCCTATACCCTATCGTCCTACCTTAAATTTTTTTTTAACATTAGCTCTTATGGGAAATGTGATCACCAGAGCAGAAATTTGCATTTTTTGGGATTTTCTAGATATGTTTCATCGTATACGTGTGTAGTTTTGAGAATAGAATATTTTTTACATTATTTTTGATATTTTTATCATGATAAACATGGTCGAGATATTTGATAATCGTTCATTAAAATTTTAATGATCGCGGTGTTTCCGATGACGTCATTCTCACTAGACCATGAGATTCTGCCAGCGCGCCGTGCTCTGTGGAAACTGCTTGTGATAACAGAATACTGGAATACCGGGACCACAACTGGCGTTCAACGAAAGACTTATTTTGCTTTTTATTGGATGTTATATATTTCATGAATTCCATGCAACTATGTACATTTCTGGTACACCTTTCAAAATCCAATGGCCTAACTCAGTTCATATGTTGAGTCTTGTTGACACCATGTACCTATCCCAAAATTGGTGATGGGCTGGATTTAGACCATGAGAGGCCACTTCATATTTTTGAGCTCAGAATTTCTCTCTAAACAACACCACATGTCATTGCTTAAAATTAAAAATATGAGTGCATTAAATTTTTCATTCTCCCCATTCATGGGTGTGAATTTTTAATTAAAGGAATAAAAATTTACTTGAGGCAGTTTTGCTTTCAATTTCTTTGATCAAACAACCGCTACAGCCATACTTTAACATAGAAACTTCCAGCAGAATGCGAATAATAATAATTTCCCTTATTATGATGCTGTGGTTGAAACCAGTTGTGTACAGAATTTTCTACTCTGAAAATCTTGATATATATATATATATACGTTTCGTAGGGTTTAAACTTGTCAAGTTTTCAAAAGAATCACAAACTTCGAAACCGAATTTCGAGGCTCTAGGTCTCAGCCTGCCTAGCCTATTGGTAAATCCAGCCCTGGTGATGGTCTCTACAGCAAATTTCTGGCCCTAATCACTCAGCAGATTAAAATAAATGGTTTTTAGCATTTATTAGCAAAGATAGATATTTTAATTGAACATATAGTTCAACTTATAGCCTGTATAATGATATTATAAATATATGTCCCATTATGACTGCATTGTGAGAAGGCTTTCCACACTATCAAGTCTATAAGGTTTTAGCGTCTTCCAATGTCTCAGATGGAAACTTCAGTCTTCATTTCGCATATTCTTTTCATTAATGCGATTAGCATTTGAAGCTTCCATTGTTGTTTAATGTGATAGCCTAAACGTGAATTCAAATTTTTTTCTCACTTCAATCATCACATGTTTGAATACCCGAGCTGACTTCTACTGATTTGTTATTAATTGATAATTTTTTTTTATAAATTAACTGTCGTACTTGCTAAGTGTCCACTAAGTGAAAATCTAAAAAAAAAGCAGTGGTTTAATAATGGACTACATGTTTAACCGAATCCAAAAATATTCCGTAACTTAGTCAACCCTTTCTCCAAGGAGTTTTTGTTAAATTGTTCAAACATCTTAATTAACTGTTAATCTCGATAGCGACATGTGGGGCTGGGGCAAGATGATTGTGATGGTCGTATCGCGTATCGCTCCCCAGTCCATACCGAATAACTGTGTGTTTTGTATATAATTTTTATTGATTCAATGCTTGTATTCTGGTTGATGAAATAAATCTCTCTCTCGTATTCAGTCATGTTTTTTAACCTAGTTAGGAGACCGGTATTGTACCATTATAGGTTGGTCATCTTTTTTGTATACCGGTACCGTACAACTTATCCTGCCTATTGGCAGGCTGGCCAACATTTTTGTTCGAAGGCCTATTCCAGTATTTACTAAATAATTTAGTTTTCACCTCTTGCCACCTTGGTACGGTACCGGTAGTTTAAATAACACGTAAGCATGCCTTCAGTAAATGATTGCTAGCGGTACA